TTGGCATTGCCTTTCTTTGGAATTGGAATGTAAACTGACCTTTTCCAATCCTGTGGCCACTGTTGAGTTTTCCAAATTTGCTGGCAAATTGAGTGTAGCATTTTTACTGCATCGTCTTTTAAGATTTTGAATAGCTCAGCTGGAATACTGTCACCTCCACTAGCTTTGTTGTTGCTCAGATTTTCTAAGGCCCATTTCACTTCACATTCTAGGATGTCTGGTTCAAGGTCAGTGACCATCTCATTGTGGTTATCTGGGATGTTAAGCTCATTAGTAGCAGTTGTAGTAGTAGTAATAATAATAATAATATTGGATGGGACCTTGGAGGTCATCTAGTCCAACCCCCTGCTCAGGCAGGAAACCCTATACCATTTTGGACAAATGGCTGTCCAGTCTCTTCTTAAAAACTTCCAGTGTTGGAGCATTCACCGCTTCTGGAGGCAGGTTGTTCCACTGGTTAATTGTTCTAACTGTCAGGAAGTTTCTCCTTAGTTCTAGGTTGCTTCTCTCGTTAATTAGTTTCCATCCGTTGCTTCTTGTCCTGCCTTCAGGCGCTTTGGAAAATAGCTTGACTCTCTCTTCTTTGTGGCAGCCCCTGGCATTAAGATGCATTGGATTACATCTTCAACACAAGAACTTTTCTTGGATCTTTAGAGGTGGATTTGTAGGTTCTTTGAGCAGAGGTCATGATATATTCCAGTATATTTCCAGACAACTGCCTCCAGAAGTTATAGGTGGTTTTTAAGAAGAAATTGGGCAATCATTTGTCTGATATGATAAAGGATCTCCTGCTTGAGCAGGGGGTTGGACTAGAAGACCTCCAAGGTCCCTTCCAGCTCTGTTATTCTGTTCTGTTCCAACCACTTCTAAGGACAGGACTTCCCTCCCTCATGAAAAGCCCGATGGGAGGCATTTCCTCCAGAGATTTTCTCCTGGGATTTAATAGAAGCAGCACAAGGAAAAGTTGCAGACTGTTGGAGAGATGGCTGTGCAATGAACTGTAAAACATTCACACCCACCCCTTAGTACCTTATAATTAAAGAAATTAAAGAATATTACATTCACCCACCATAATTTCCTCTAACTTCTCTTTCCCTAGGAAAGTATTTTAATATTTATATTAAATTCCCTTGCATTAAAGTTAATGAGAAAATTTAAAACTAAATGCCGGTGAATTTTTCTGACTAGCACTAGTTAATTTCTGTTTTGGGCCAAAGGCAGACTAGACAAAGTACCACTTTATAAAGCTTTAGTAAGACCACACTTGGAAATACTGCATCCGGTTTTGGTCACCACATTACAAAAAAGATGCTGGAAAAATGCAGAGAAGAGCAACTAGTATGATTAAAGGCCTGAAAACTAAAACATATTAAGAATGGTTGAAAATTATGTATTGGAATTGAAAAAATGTTGATTTTTTAGATTGGGATGGTTTTAATAATTAATGGAGTGTTTTAACTTAGATGATTTTTTTGTACAATAACATAGATGTGATAAGGTATGACAATCAATTGGATGAAATTTGAAGTTTCTGTAATGAATTGAAGTGAATTAACATTATTTTTTAAATTAAGATAGCTATTGTGTAATGGAAGAAGAAATAAATGAGATTGGTGATAAAAGGAGGGATGAGAGAAATTAAGAACTAGAATATATCTGGAAGGGATACCTGAATTGATAACTTGTTGAGTTAAAGTGAAATTTGATTTTGGTAATTGTAAACTGATAAAAGTTTTAAAACAGGTTTAGTAGTAATAGAAATTTAATTTAGAAATGGAATATTTTAAACGTATTATGTTATTTGAGGGAAATAGAGAGGAGACAGTGAATGTATTGAGTTGAGTTGTTTATTTATGTTTTTACTTTGGAATGTTTGATTACCCAAACACCACGGTGTGTCCTGAGTACTTTTTCTTAAAAATTAAAAAACCAATTTTTTTTTTTTTTTAAAGATTGGTTGCAGGAACTGTGTATGGCTAGTCTAGAGGAAAAAAAGACTAGGGGTGACATAGCAGTATTCCAACATTTGAGGGGCTACCACAAAGAGTTATTTTCCAAACTTATTTTCCAAAGCACTGGAGAGCAGGACAAGAAGCAATGGATGAAAACTATTCAAGGAGAGAAGCAACCTGGAATTAAGGAGAAGCTTCCTAACAGTGAGGACAATAAACCAATGGAACAGCTTGCCTTCAGAAGTTGGGGGTGCTTCATCACTGGAGGTTTTTAAGAAGAGAATGGACAGCCACCTGTCTGAAATGGTAGAGGATCTCCTGCTTTTGCGGGGATTGGACTAGAAGACCTCCAAGGTCCCTTCCGGTTCTATTCTGAATATATAATATAATAATATAGACCAGTGTTTCTCAACCTTGGCAACTTGAAGATGGGTGGACTTCAACTCCCAGCATAGCTGTCTGGGGAATTCTGGATATTGAAGTCCTCCCATCTTCAGGCTGCCAAGGTTGAGAAACACTGGATTAGACAAAGAGTTTCCATTTAAAATTTTGTACATATGCAGATTCACACCCTCTAATAATAATAATAATAACAACAACAACAACAACAACACTAATAATATAGTAGTAAAGTTGGAAGGGACCTTGGAGGTCATCTAGTCCAACCCCCTGCTCAGGCAGGAAACCCTATACCATTTCGGACAAATGGCTGTCCAGTCTCTTCCAGTGTTGGAGCATTCACCGCTTCTGGAGGCAGGTTGTTCCACTGGTTAATTGTTCTAACTGTCAGAAAGTTTCTCCTTAGTTCTAGGTTGCTTCTCTCCTTGATTAGTTTCCATCCGTTGCTTCTTGTCCTGCCTTCAGGTGCTTTGAAGAATAGCTTGACTCCCTCTTCTTTGTGGCAGCTCCTGAGATATTGGAACACTGCTATCCTGTCACCCCTCGTCCTTCTCTTCGTTAAACTAGACATACCCAATTCCAGCAACCGTTCCTTATATGCTTTAGCCCCCAGTCCCCTAATCATCTTAACTTCTTACTTTGGGTTTTTTTTTTTTTTGTGATCTGGAGATTCTTCCTGATTTTCAAACCCATTTCACTTCAAAAGTATTGAATCACTGCTTTATATAGAACTCGTTCATTTGAATTCCATTTCATTTCCATAACTAAAGAAAAATGCGGCTTATTGGATTCATTTTTCATTCACTTTTGAAATAAAATGCATGAACTTTACTAAAATGGGATATCAGTGGAATACTGTCTTCATACATTATATTCCCCTAGCTTCTGCTCACAGTTATGAAATGGAACTGATCAGATGGAAGGCCTTTTTCACAAATAATATCATTCATTTTTGGAACTCACAGTCTCAAGATATGGCAATGGATCCTAGCTTAGATTAAAGAAGAGAATAAGTCACATTAATTGGGAAGAAGCATCTCCATGTTCAATAGCAATACGTCTTTGACCAGACTTTGCTTTAATATATAGCTTAGGATGTACAGCTTAGGAGTTTTTAGAAACATCAAGCTGGTCTGTGGACAAAATAAATGTTGGGTTTAACAGAATAATAGAATAACAGAGTAGGAAGGGACCTTAGAGGTCTTCTAGTCCAAACCCTACTCAAACAGGAGATCTTATACCATTTCAGACAAGTGACTGTCCAGTCTCTTCTTAAAAGCCTCCATTGATGGAGCATCCACAACTTCTGAAGACAAGCCTTTCCACTGGTTTATTGTTCTCACTGTTAGAAAACTTCTCCTTAGTTCTAGGTTGTTTGTCTCCTCGATTAGTTTCCATCCATTGTTTCTTGTCTTGCCTTCTGGTGCTCTGGTAAATAGGTTGACCCCCTCTTCTTTGAAAGAATGCTGCAAAGAAGTGAGGCTCAATCTATTTTCCAAAGCACCAGAAGACAAAACAAGAAACAATGGATGGAAACTTATCAAGGAGAGAAGAACATAGAACTAAAGAGGTTTGATACAGTTTGATACTGTTGGAATTTTCCAGTGGGCAAGTGATATTTCTTTCATCCTTGATGTCCTTTGACCTATTCACTGAGGGGATGAATGACTGGAATTAGCTAGTAATTATTTGCAGTGTGGTCTGACAGGTGTGCAGGAGGCACCAAGTTGGAAAACTGTAGCTTAAGATACAGTTAGTCCTCGACATACAACCACAATTAGGACCCCAATTTCCATTGTTAAGCAAGACAGCCACCCAATTTTACAATCTTTTTTGACACGGTTTTTAAGCAGATTGTTGCAGTTAAGTGAATCACATGGTCATTAAGGGAATCCGTCTTCCCCCCATTGATTTTACTTGATGGAAGTTGACTGATGGCAATCACATGATCTTGGGACATTGCAATTGAGAAAAGTACACGCTGGTTGCCAAGCGCTCAAATTTTGATTGCGACCATTGGGATGTTGTGATGGTTGTAAGTGCAAGGACCAGTTGTAAGTCCTTTTTTTCTATGCTGCTGTAACTTGGAATGGTGGCCTAATGAATGGCTGTAAATCGAGGACTACCTGTACACCAACTCTGGACTATAAGGATTATGAAAAGTACTGCCGTTGGAAAGAAAATCAGTGATACAAGGACTAGCAAAATGCTTTGTTTACCAAGATGTTGGGTTTAAGAATTAGGCAAGCCATCCATTCTTCCACACTGTTAATGCTGAGAGATTTTACTATGTCCTGCTGCATCCTATGAGTTGATTTATGAACTTTCTCGATTTAATTCAAGCAGCAAGTGCTGCAACTTTTAGGCTTTGGGCTTCTCTCTCTCCCACCTAAATGTTTGTGCACATGAATTAAACACTCTAAGAAAGCCATCATGATGTGACTGAGGGGAGGACGGGCACATCAATTGCTTTTTTGTGTTGTGTCGCCAGACCATTCATGAAACAACTGGGGGGGGGGAAGTATCAAACCAATTTGTCCTTAGGAAGCACTCCTTCCTCTTTATCCAGCCTTTTATCTCTCCCCATGTGTGCATCATTCACACCAAAGGAACGAGGAAGGCAAAAAGACATGCCAGTGGCCGGAACAGTGGTGGAGTCCAAACTTAGCAACTCCACTCTGGAATCAGAAAACTGGAAAATCCTATATCTGGATTGAAATTCAAAGATGAGCATTTGGAAGCTTCTTTAAGAGAATCGAGGCTTGGAGATTGTCGACAGAATGAGGTCTTGAAGAGGCAAACGCTCAGCCGATCCGGTGGCCCCCGCCTTCCTCTCTCTCTCTCTCTCTCCCCCGCCCCACGCTGGGTTTTTTTTCTTTCTTTCCCCATCATCCTGACGTCGGGAGCTATCCACAAGCCGTGGTGCTGAAGCAAAATGGCTGGCTCTCACTAGGCACGAGAAGGAGGAGCAGCAGTCGGCGGCCCTTCGGAGAAGGATGCCATTTCGCAGCAACGCAACACGCCTTTCCTTTTCCAAGCAGCTCCCCACGCTGTGAAGCCAAATCTGCTTTAGAACAGCGGCCTTGAAAGAGAGAGCGAGAGGGAGAGCGCCTATGCCATGTCTTTGCTTTGCGTTGGAGGTAAGGCAATCTCACTTCCATCCCATGCACAGTGGTTTTGGTTTTGTTTTTCTTTTTTTTGAGATGTGAGGGTGTCATTTTTGTGCAGAACAGGATAGAGGCAGAAATATATAGCTGTCGACGAGGTGACGGGGAGGTGGCCATTTCTGAAACTAGCCTCAGTGGAAATACTAAGGCGTGGGACAGTGAAGGCATGTCCATGATGCTGAGGTGGGGAGGGAGGGATGGGCTGTTCTTTCAGATTCCCGATGCTCCCATCTAGCAAAGAGGGGTCTAAACTTCACCTTTGGAGCAAAAGCTTCTCTTGCCTTTTTCTCAAATAGGTGCTAATTCAATCCAGCATTTTGGGGTGTGGTGCAGGTTGATGGATTTCAGGCTTTCTCTATGTCGGTGTGTGTGTGTGTGTGTGTGTGTCCACCTCTGATGTGGCCAGCTCATATTACTTTAACAATTTCATCATTTGGTTTCACATGGTACTTAGATGTTGGATGGGCTGCAGGAACATAGGCAAAATCTTTTCCTCTCATATCTTTCTCATGGGCTAATTGAGATGCCAAATTAATTTTGCAACCTCTCACCTCCTGTTAGCAGAGAAGTGAGTTTTTGCACTTCTTGATTTTCAGAGGCAGAGGAGGAGGAGGAGGAGGATGAAAAAAATGAGCAATCTTTGCTTATCTTTCCTCCATGCTTCCCTTAGCTCTTCGGTTCTTTGAATGTCAGTCCCTATTAAATGAAGTTTTAAAAATCATTCTTCCCTTTCCAAGACCACCTTGGATGAAAGATGCAATAGGCACAGCATGATAATATTCTGTATTATAATTTCATATTGTTTGACTTAGCACATTACTTGCTACATGATGTTATGATGGGCAGTTGTTCAGGGGAAGTCTAAATGCAGGAGGGGATTATTAGCCAAGGTTCTTGTATGGATCCTCCATAGCCAGATGCAGTATACCACCTGATGGTCAAATGTTGCACATAAACAGGAGCTGGCTGTGCACCTACAAACCCTATAAGTGGACTTTCTGGCTGGTCAGGCTTGGAAAAAGAATGATGGTTTGGACTGATATTTGGATCTGGACCCAACAAGTTCTTGTATAGAATTCTCTATTAAGGGTAAAACATGTTGGCAGTCACCATTATAAGCATCACATAAAAGGAAGATGGTCTTGGTTTTTAAGGAATCTTATTTCTGAACCCCAAACAGAATCCCTATAACAGAGGCTATCTATTGCTCAAAATAGCACAGATTTGAACCTGCTCCCCTGCCTTGAGTCACATTCCATCTACAACATAAGCCTCACACTGGGATTGAAAAGCAGAGGATGGTGATGGTGATATCTTCATGCTCCATTTGTGGGCATTCTCAAAATAGTGGGTTGTCTTTGGAAACAAAACGTGATGGTGTCTGGTCTTAACTGGAAAAACAATTCTTAGGCCGTAATTTCCAAAATAAGAGAGAGAGAATTCATTTAGACCCAGAATTTGGAAGGTGTGTGTCTGCTAGCTTTACACAACATACTCGATTGGAGTGCAGGAACCCAATCATTCTCACAGCATGCTTAAAAAGCAGACTATAATGTGAAACCAGAATCCAATGTATTACTTTGCGAATGGCATGTTTTGCTAACTCAGCCACTGAGACCATGGTAGGAATTACAGGGAGACCAGCAAGGATCTAAAGGCCCAGGTTAATTCCCAGCATGGTTAGTAATGGGTTAAATGCTAACCATTTCATAAGCAAAAGATCTGATCTGCTGTTTGGCAGTTTAACCAAGTGTTTCCCTTTGGGTAAAATATTTAGCTGCCTGTTAAACATTTGCTCTGTAAATGCGAGTGTGTGTGTGTATATTTAATTTTTTTTAAAAAAAGAAGACGCAAAAATTCTGCTATCTTGACAACAATGTCTTCATTAGCTGATCCCTTCAAAGCACTGGAGGAAACCTTCTACTCCTCACAATTCCCAGGCCTGTCTTCATTCACAAAAATGGGCCTGTCAGGGAAGACTCGTGGATGTTAAAAGGAATAACATGGGACAACCAAACCATGGCATGAACCATCAATGAAATGATAATTAAGATGTCAGTGAGGAAAATCAAAGTTGTGGGTGCTACATCACTTGAGGTTTTTAAGAAGAGATTGGGTAGCTATTTGTCTGGAATGGTAGAGGGTCACCTGCTTGAGCAGGGGGTTGGACTAGAAGACCTCCAAGGTCCCTTCCAATTCTGTTATTCTGCATGTAAGGAAGCTTCTGTATGTCAGGTAGCTTGTAAAAGGATAAACACAAAGGAGCCATTGCTATTTCAAGCTTAAAACAGCTGCCTCCATCCTTCCCTGTCTCTCCCTCCCCCCTCAATTTCCTTTCTTGCAGAGATCTGATCAATGTTTGCATTATTGGGAGGCAGGAAATTGGGTCATTTTAAGAACCCCCATAAGCTCTGATCCTGGATTCTCTCTTGACATAAAATAAATCAGCCCCTTCTCTATTGCCTTGTGAACCTCAAAACTAAGCTCTTTATCAGCAGAAATGAGAAGGGGGTGAAGCCCCTCTTCTTGACCTTCCTCAAAAGTTGACATCTTGCAGTGCTTGATCCTGATTTTCAACTGGTGAGTGCTATGCATATTAGGCACAGGACGGTTCTGGATCACATTGAGAAGGTGGTGAAGCACAGGTTCAAAATGTGGAGGGTGGAGAAAATGGCCTTCTGCAAAACTTGGTGGGCAGAGGGGGGTATGTTTGTAAGAGTTGTGGGGCCAAGCATGCACAGCAAGGTTGCAGGTCTTTAGCATTCATCACAGTTGCAAAATCTATAAATCAGAGCTGTCGGATGAGGTTAGGTGTGTCACAGCCTCTGGCCACAGGCGCTTTCTGGGAACAATTTATGAATGAACGAGTGGTGGAAGACTCTTTCCAGAAAGCCAGTAGCTGAATCAGCGCTGGGGAAAGAAGCACAGCTTTGGGGAAAGGGTGACTCCATTTTGGCTCTTTTTAAAGGATTTAGAATACAGTATTCCCGTGCTGTCCTCTCCCTTCTCCTCCTTTTAAATCTGAAACCTTAAATAGAAAATGCTACAAACAATGCTGCAGAAAAGATTGTTTGGTGATGGTGGCGGCGGCGGCGGTGGTGGGTTTGCTTAATTTTGAAAAATGGATTCGTTTATTAAAATAGGTATAACCTACCTTTCCTTGAAGATGTATTCCCGTCTGCAATAGGGGGCCTGAGGTAATGCAGTTTTGAAATAAGTAAATCTCACCTCCTACAATTTTTTTTTTAGCCTCCTTCATTCTCGTGGCAGATATTTTTTTTATTATTATGAGTCTCATCATCCATCACTACTACCAGATAGTTGATTGTCCAACATGTAAGATTGTATAACACTGTTTTAAGCCATGAGAGCATGGGGGAGGGCTAGGCAGGGTGGAGGGAACTGGGCAGGCACAAAAGCAGAAACATGCCTTTTGGAAGGAGGAAAATATAGAAGCGATCTTTATTTCTCCATAGTCTGGATTTCTGAAAAAGAAGTAACACAGTATTGCACACTTACTCTCCACTCTTCTGAGGTCATTTCTGCAGCAAGATTTTTTTTTTTTTTTTACTTTCCTGGAATTATTTGGGTAAAGACTGTTGAACTCTTTTAAAAATGTGTATATCTTATTATTGCTACAACAAACTAGTGTTTTGTTTATTTATATCCCAACTTTATTACTGTTCATAGATAAATCAAGGTGGCAAACATATCAACTACTTATTCCTCTTCCTATTTACCCAACAGTCCTGTAAGGTGGGTTGGGCTGAGAAAGAGTGATTGGCCCAAAGTCATCCAACCAGCTTTCATGCCTAAGGCAGGAATAGAACCCACAGTCTCCTAGCAATTGGCCCAAAGTCACCCAGTTGATTTGCATGCCTAAAGCGGAACTAGAACTCTCCTGGTTTCTAGCCTGTGCCTTAACTATTAGACCAGGGGTCTTCAAACTTGGCCCTTTTATGACTTGTGGACTTCAACTCCCAGAATTCCTCAGCCAGGCATGTGTGCCTGGCTGAGGAATGCTGGGACTTGAAGTCCACAAGTCATAAAAGGGTGAAGTTTGAAGACCCCTGTATTAGACCAAAGTAGCTCTCTAATCATTGCTCTTTGCTAATCTGCTGAAGCTCACTTAGTTTTATGTCTGTATTTAATTTCAAAGTTATGATGACTTAGTCTTAAGAGGCATGTATCTACTTTCTCAATGGTCAATCATGACATAAAGCTGATTTCATTTGCCCCTTAAACATTGGCCAGGTGAATGAGACCCCCTCACTAAGTAGAAAATCAACAGATAGATTTCTCTGGCTTGAAAAATGAAATCTTGGAGAAACTTTACAGTGTGGCTTGCCCACTGTGTGGCTTGATATTAATGTTGGAGGCTCCCCTTTCACCCCAGATAATAAATGTTAGCCCCCTTGCAAGCAGCAGATATGTTTAGAAGGAAGGCAACTGGTTCTTCATATTCGAATGTATACAATTAAAAGAAAGAACTGGAGAAGGGCTTTCACAGAAGATCTCAAAGTACAGGCAGGTTGATATGATAGCAAGAGAACCAACCTTAACAGTTGGTTCTCTTGCTATTTAGGGATTAAAGAACTAGCACTTTCAACTGGATCCCAAACCAGAGAAACCAATCCAGGAGAATATTTGTAGCTCAGGGTTGAAATGAAGGGTCTATGGTGCTCTCTGAGCTTGGCTGTTTTCTTGCAGATATTTAATTACCCAAACTAGGTAATATCATCAGACGTTTGAATAACATCTGCAAGAAAACAGCCAAGCTCAGAGAGCACCAAGGACCCCTCAAACCAGAGAAAGCCAGAGGTTTATTTTTTTAATGGTAAGATGTGCATGCGTTTCATTGGACCAGTCAGAATTATGGCCAAATAGTACCAGTTGAAACAGAATAACAGATTGGAAGGGACCTTGGAGGTCTTCAATTCCTTGTTCAGGCAGGAAATCCTATAGACCATTTC